ACACTGTGTCCAGACACCATAGTAATAGGTGAGGTCACACAGTCAGGGTGATGGTGGGACACAGCTGGAACTCCTCACACTGTGTCCAGACACCATAGTAATAGGTGAGGTCACACAGTCAGGGACACAGCTGGAACTCCTCACACTGTGTCCAGACACCATAGTAATAGGTGAGGTCACACAGTCAGGGACACAGCTGGAACTCCTCACACTGTGTCCAGACACCATAGTAATAGGTGAGGTCACACAGTCAGGGCGATGGTGGGACACAGCTGGAACTCCTCACACTGTGTCCAGACACCATAGTAACAGGTGAGGTCACAGTCAGGGCGATGGTGGGACACAGCTGGAACTCCTCACACTGTGTCCAGACACCATAGTAATAGGTGAGGTCACACAGTCAGGGCGATGGTGGGACACAGCTGGAACTCCTCACACTGTGTCCAGACACCATAGTAATAGGTGAGGTCACAGTCAGGGCGATGGTGGGACACAGCTGGAACTCCTCACACTGTGTCCAGACACCATAGTAACAGGTGAGGTCACACAGTCAGGGCGATGGTGGGACACAGCTGGAACTCCTCACACTGTGTCCAGACACCATAGTAATAGGTGAGGTCACACAGTCAGGGCGATGGTGGGACACAGCTGGAACTCCTCACACTGTGTCCAGACACCATAGTAATAGGTGAGGTCACACAGTCAGGGCGATGGTGGGACACAGCTGGAACTCCTCACACTGTGTCCAGACACCATAGTAATAGGTGAGGTCACAGTCAGGGCGATGGTGGGACACAGCTGGAACTCCTCACACTGTGTCCAGACACCATAGTAATAGGTGAGGTCACAGTCAGGGCGATGGTGGGACACAGCTGGAACTCCTCACACTGTGTCCAGACACCATAGTAATAGGTGAGGTCACAGTCAGGGCGATGGTGGGACACAGCTGGAACTCCTCACACTGTGTCCAGACACCATAGTAATAGGTGAGGTCACACAGTCAGGGCGATGGTGGGACACAGCTGGAACTCCTCACACTGTGTCCAGACACCATAGTAATAGGTGAGGTCACACAGTCAGGGCGATGGTGGGACACAGCTGGAACTCCTCACACTGTGTCCAGACACCATAGTAATAGGTGAGGTCACACAGTCAGGGCGATGGTGGGACACAGCTGGAACTCCTCACACTGTGTCCAGACACCATAGTAATAGGTGAGGTCACACAGTCAGGGCGATGGTGGGACACAGCTGGAACTCCTCACACTGTGTCCAGACACCATAGTAATAGGTGAGGTCACACAGCCAGGGCGATGGTGGGACACAGCTGGAACTCCTCACACTGTGTCCAGACATCATAGTAATAGGTGAGGTCACGCAGTCAGGGCGATGGTGGGACACAGCTGGAACTCCTCACACTGCGCTGCATGGACATTTGGAGAGTGTGATCTATTTTGGAGGACAGCACAAACTTTGGACCCAACAGTAATAGGCTACGTAATGGGGTCATAGCACTTCCGGAGTACGGTCTAAGCTCCAGACCAAACAGTCACAAGGCGGACCCAGGGCCAGGAAGCTAGTGAAGAACTATTGAGCTGCACCTCGCTGCGCAGGACGGGGTTAGAGTTCGACCGCCTTCCCGGAGTCATCTGGGTGAAACACACGAAAGAAAAAGGGCGTGGACACAATGCAAAGAGCAATTAGTACATCACGGTGAACGAAGCGACAAACAAAAAAAAGAGGAAAGGAAGTGTGATGATAAGGAAATCCGCGCATGCACGGCAGACGGGCTCGATTAAATCTCGGTCTCTCCAAAGTAACGATATGAGCCAAGAAAGCAGCAAGCAAAAACCAGCCGACGACCGTATGAACAGAAAACAAATCTAATTAAAGAAACCTGTTACGGACGCGGCCCTGACCAACCGTACGGTCGCGACACTGGACCGGTGCGGCCGTTATGAACCGACGCAGATCCTTATAGTTGCCTCCCACGTCTAGATCAAGACGGCCACAGCAAAGACAAATCAGTGGGCCGTCGTGCCTGGGCGTGCGTGGCCGGCCCCACGCAGTGCCCGGCCGTCCGGCCGTGTCAGGTGCGGGTGCTGCGAGTCACGGGCCACTCTCGCTGTGTCAGGTGCGGGTGTTGCGAGCCGCAGGCCAATCTCGCTGTGTCAGGTGCGGGTACTGTGGGCCGCGGACCAATCTCGCTGTGTCAGGTGCGGATACCCTCTCGCCGACCAGATCGAACCACGTCTGGCCTCATCGCAACACTTTACAATGACATCGCAGTGCGAACAGTGACCACGCACAATTACAATCACGCTTCACAATTACAATTACAACAATTAAAACACAGCCCGTCGCTTGCATTTACAAGAGCTCTCACAAACGGTCGCTACTGTCAGTCTACTTATCCGACCGGCCGTTCTCCGCCCTGGCATGTCCACAATGACATGCGGGAACAGCACTGGGCACCGCCTGGCACAGTCCTTCCTTCACCCATCCGCGGTGATGGAAACGCAGGGGCATCACCCCTCGCCCCTCGTAGAGCTTGGCACTGTGCATGCGCAGTGCCGTGCCCGCAGTCCGCATCCCGCATTGCATTCCAGGGTCCGCGTGGCCTTAGAGTGTTATCTGGCTCCCAGGCGGTCCCTGCCCCGGGCCGGCTCGTTTGCTGTTATGCCCCGCCGAGAGACTCCGCCCACCTTGGACGGGCGGTGCAGAAAATCGAAATGTGTCGAAATGCGTGCCTACGCTACTCAATAGGAGATAATCAGGAGTGTTTCTCACTCTTTCCCAGCAACGCAATAAACATTACGTCAAAACCGGACAGCAGAAAATGAGTTAGCGGAATTGCCAGCTAGGAAGTAGAAACGAGCGTTAAGAAGCAAAAGAATAGGTGGCGCACGCCAGACAAGATCACTTTTACGCAGTGGGTATATGAAATATTTTAGAAAAGGGTCTAAAGTAGTCATAGCCAAGGTCGACAAATGGCATTGCATGCAAACCAACGCATTGCATTGCATTTCATTTTAGCTTTCTTGACGAAAAACTTCTATTTTTCTATGGAAGCTACCGTAGCATGTGTGAACCGAAACAGTCGGTGGCAAAATAGACATTTCGTCATCCGCCATTATGTGTGGAGAGTGCAATCAAAACAATCATGCCACGAAACTCCGTCTCCGGTTCGCACGTTTCACCGAGTGCCTACGCCTAATGCGCGTAATGGCTTGTTTGTGTGACTGAGTGCCTCGTTATCGTTGAATGTGCGTAGCGCTTTCAACCATAAGGACAGTCATTCGCCTTTCTGCGCATGTGCCTCACGCTCTGTTTGCTTGACCACGTCCATTGTGCGTGCAACATTGTGTTACGCAAAGGTCAGCTGGATGCGGGTAAAGAGACGGCTTATCACTGGTGAGGTCATGTGGCGCATGATGCCCCTGGGCTCAAGTTCGTTAAGCTGTACAAGGAAGATAATCTGTTAAAAATTAAGATGAGTTTCCCCCGCACCGTAGAGATGCATCGTCTGAACAGAATATTGAAGTAAGAAAAACAGAATACAGCTTAAGTCCCTGACTGTGAATCGTTTACGAAGTCTATTTTGGAGTCGGACCCGGCTCGACTTCAGAATCTGACGTTCAGTATGTCAACGCATGATGCATATTGACTTAATGTGCGTGCGCGTCTAACGATAGCGAAATTACACCGCCAAGTGAGCAGCGACTACGGCTTTGGCCATGAGCGCCCACAACGTGAAGCGCAGCGCCGGAGACTGCGGTGTTTCACAAGGCACTAGCACCGAAGACTTGGTTTCATGGCACGGCGGTATCCGTCCCAACAGGTCATCCTCACCACAGGTACGAAGGTTCTTTCGGAACTCCGCTCCGGCAATATGAAAACAAAAAAAACGGATGGATGAATTACGAATTCTTTCAAGCGCGGTGGCGACACCCAGTCTCTATTTTTCATCGTCGAAACTCACCTTTTCGCCCTTCAGGAACGCTGTTTATCCGGCCGTGTGAAGAGCGCACCGAGTGAGGCGGTTTTCAGTCTATCATTCTCTCGCGCTCTCGCCGCAGACCGGTTGGCCAGCATCAGCGCAGGCCATATAGATTACCAGCACAGTTATTATGACGTCGTCATCATCGTCATCGTTGCTTTCGTTTTCAAGGGAGAGGCGTGCGGTAAAAGTCCGATCATCAGCCAAATGGGGCTCAAGTTTAATTACCGGTACGCAGGTCACACGGCTCGGCTTATGCTCCGTCAGGCACCGGCTGAAGAGTGCCTCATATTCCAGCCGTGTGATCTGTTAAAGTGTCCGTGATGAAACGTGAATGTCCTGCAAGGCAAAGATTGACTGCCAACCTAAGGCATGATTCCATAACGCGTTAATTGATTCAAGTCAAGTGCGTAGGGACGCTTGCGTCAAATGCGCATCAGGGTCATCAGATGTGTCCAGTTTCTAGACACTGGTGTCTAAGAATGCTTGGGTCTGTGTGCGTCTCTTTGTTGGTGGTGTTTCAACACTACAGGACTATTTTTGTTGCTGTGCAGACACGTGTGGCCACCGCCCCCTTTCCTAACCGATGGAATACGTTCCATTTCTCCGCTTCCGTGCACAGACACGACGCAGTACACTCACATCACGCTGGTGCCAGTCTCCACCAGCGTGGACCGTGATCAGCTGCTCTCTCTGCGTCGCCGGCTGTCGGCTCGCGCCGCTCACGCCTCACGCCGCGTGACCGGGCCCGGCATGAGGCGGCGCGTGCGCTCGGAAACCGATGACGTGACGCGGCAACGTGACGCGGAGAAACGTGTTACGTGTCGCAACCGGTGAGCGTCGTGTTCCGCGCACTCGGCGACACTGCCGAGCGAGATCAAAACCGCCGGCCGTCGGCGGGTCAGTGCAGTGCCACCGCGCACGTGACCCCGGCGCCACCCGCGCGATCCGACGCGACCCGACGCGAGCCGACGCGACCCGACGCGGCTCCGGCTGGACCACCGCAGCGGTGCACGGCTTGGCGTTGTGAAACTGAGGGCAGGCGGACGGCATTGCTTCGGCGGTCGGTGGTTCGCGGGAGTGGTATGCTGTGAAGATGGAAGGACTACGTCTGGCGGTAAGCGAAAATTTACCGAGTCTTGCCGACTGTGATTTAGTATGTGGTCGGGCTGTGTTCATCAGGCTTACTTCCTTCCGCTTTTCAGCTTCCCACACTTCCATCGCAACCCGACGCGACGAACTTTATCAACATGGAAGCCCGGGGTCATGAATCATTCAATGCATGGGTTCGCTGGCTCAGAGTAGGACTTCTCTGACTTGCCGTTGCGTACATGTGGCCTGAACGCAGGGTCAACAGCGCTTCATTAACAGCACTGCAAACGACGCGCACGCAAAGCGATAATCATCCCGGCTCACAACATCGAGAGAATCATCGCACTCAGTGGTCCAAATTCCGGTGGCAGCGTTTGTGCTAGCTCGACTTCAGGCCGCCCGCCGCGACGAGCGCTAGGCATTCGGTAATTGAGGGCGTCGTAGCCCAGCTGCCGCGCACGGCTCGGTCCTGGGGTGGGTCCGCAAGTTTGAGACCCACCGGCGCAGTCCGTTACGTTTCGTCTTTGTCCCTGACGACGGGAAATGAGGCGGAACGGCCTCTCCGGCGAGACCGTACCCTGAGTCCGCTGGCTCCGCTACAGCTAACAGCATGTGCTGAGTGCTACTGACATGTGACATGGCGGCTCAGAGGCGAGGAAAGCTAAGAGTTTCAGGTTAAGTTTGGACTTAATGACAAATGCAGTAGCTTGTGATATTGTACACTTGAACCTGTCCGGGGAGGTCGTTCTGTTGGACATGTTCTGTATCATACACAAAGGGGAAGAGTAAGGAAGTGCCACGTGAAAGCATCGGCGAATTACGTAAATTCCATGGTTGTTCACTGCCCCTTCACATGGCGTTATGCTGCGAAGGTTTCGGTCACAATGAAGGCATTGGAAGTCATGGAATCGTCTTGTGGTCCTCATTTTATGGAGTTAAGAATTGATAGTTGAGTGGGTAATGCGGATGTTTCCAGCACGTGGACGTCGTGACCCTTGACAGGCACTTGCATCTGCATTCGCACAGGTGCATGGATGGCTATTTAAGCTAGCCGTCCCCCAAAAATGGAAACTTTAGCATGTAACTTATGTAAAGCAAAGAGATGAGAGGCTACACATGTTCGCTTGACAGACCACTGTTCGACCATTCAGCCTCAGCACAAGAGACCAAAATCCTTGCAGTGCTGACTGCCGTTCGACTTTTAGGCGTGAGGACGAGGGGGCCAAACTCGGGTCACGAAGGAGTCAAACTCGGGTCAACTCCATTCAAGGACTACAGGGTCGTGCTCCATTGATATCTGTCTGCTCGTAATCCACGCACGTCAACCGTTGCCGATAATCTGAACATAAATAACACCTACTGGAAGAAATAAACTACACAAATCAGATGAGTATCACACTATCTGAAGCAGCATGCAACGTACAAAAATGACGGGCAGATCATTAGGAACCGCCATATTCCACCATGGCCGGGTGTGCAGATACCTTCTGTTGAGACAAACAATGCAATACCAACCTTGTAAGTGATGCAAGAGATTGTGGATTTATGCTATTCTGCCCCCTTTGACTTTGTCAAGAGATCATCCCCACGTGCGGTGTTCATATTCTCGTAAGAATTGGGCTGTTCTGAAGCTGAGCTTGGTCAGCATCAACATTTACTTCTTAGCCGGTCGGGTCAGTAATCTACCGTCTCCTCCTGTTCCAGAAATGCGTGCAACTGCTGCTAGTGCTGGCCACTTTGCTGTTGGGTCCGGCAGCCGGCGGCCCACGGTCAAGACCAAGCCTGGGACAGGGTGGGGCTTGGCGGACGCGCGGACCTGGCGCGGACCTGGCGGAGAACGACGACCTGGTTTACTTGCGGCGGGAACAGCCGGGCGGCGGACCGGCGGAACAGGTTAGTGCGCCGACCGTCATGGGCCTTGCGCGCGCCGCACCGGGCGGTCGCCCGGCCCGCGCTCCATCGTCTTTACACCTGAGCGTGTGAACCCAAGTGAAGTGAACCAAAACCTGAGCATGTGAAGTCGCGCGAACAGTCGGGTCGAGCCTGGTTAATGAAATGAACATAAGCACACCACTTCGGATGTTTGATTGGTGTTGTTTGGAATCGAAGAGCAAAAACAGGTACTCCGACCGACGCGTCCTATTAATGAATGACGTAGGAGTCAAGATAGCTAAAGGTAGACTGCTCCGGTTGGTGTGCGTACACAACGTAGCTTAGAAATGTGTAAGTTCTTAGTTTCGCTTTGTGAAATGAGGCTCTGGCTGGGACGTGCCGGTCAGCTAAAGACATTGTTGGACTGGCGGAGATAAGACACCCTTGTCATGGAAGCTATCGTAGAAGCTCCGGTATTGCCGCGTTTGGGTCACCGGTGTGTGGGTGCTTTGCACAAGACGTGTGCGTGGAAAGTGGAGATGGATCGGGGTGGTGAGGATACGGCCTCATTGACCATCACCACGTACCGTGGACAGCTCCCCATCCCGTGGCAGCCCTTTCTTACGCCCAGAATTCTAAAAAAAAAATCATTGTTATTATTTGAACATGTACATAGATATACATACCAACACACCGGATGAAAGCGATAGTCAGAACAGTAATTCCATGATAATTTGTGATAATCCGTGATAATCAATATTACTCACTTACCGCCGCGAACAGAGAAGTGGCAAAACAGAGCTGTACTTGCTACATCGCCTGATAATTCTGCGGAGTGCGGAGCTTTAGTTGTCGTTGGCAGGCGTTCCAGGGGCCACCAGCGAGGGTATGGGAGGGAGGCGAGAGCTGAAGCACACTGAACGTGATAATTTTGATGCGACTTATTTTGACTCGCAGGTGTTGGATGGGAGAGGGCACGTGGAGATTTGATTTGCGGTAAGTTGGGCAGCAGGCCTCAGCCTTCCAAAGAGATAGCGCAGACTGTTTTGCTAATGGTCGTCCGGCTTGTTAGTCATGGTACAAAAATGATGACTCTGTAATGGAATTGCTGCGAAGTTTTTTCACAGAAATGTGTCATTTATAGTAAGGAATGCCGAATTATCTTGGTTCCTATTTGGACAACGTTGAGAATTTCTCACAATCCAAGATATCGGTCGTCGCCATCTTGAATGCTAGCCGTTTTCTTATTTTGATCTCAATGACACACGTGGTCAGGTGATATTTCTTTTGCAGGTTATCACAAACAAAGAGTTCATTTCCGGGGTTGTTTTGGCAATGGGATAGAATTCATTGTCAGGTCAGAGATCAGAGGCCAAACTCAGAAACGCTTAATTCCATTGTTCGTAAGTGGTAAAGGTAGCACTAAGCGCCTCTGACGTATTGTTGAATGGCGTCTACATGGACATTGAACGTAATGCGTCACATTCCTCTTTTACGCTTCACTGTCGTTATCATTTTGCACACCAGACTTCCTCTCTTATCTCCTTCGATATCAATCTGCGTGCTGGTGGAACGGCTATAACTGGTGACCCCCCCCCCCCCATCGCATTAGCAGTGCTATGTACGCGAAAGGTCTGTGATGCTGCACATGCAGCTCGCAATGTTGCATTCCATGCTTTCCGCGGTACAGCTGCCCCTCAGCGCATCCAGAACCCTTTGAGAGCAACTGGCACCGCTGAAACAATCGGCACGATGGCGGTGACTTCGGCGCTCCAGCCAAAGTTGACAATATATCTAACTTCTCTTCTTAGGAAGGGGGGGGGGGGATATATTGGTTCACGGCTTTCCACAAACTCACCTGGGGTTGAACTCAGAGAATGGGTGCGATATAGTTGTTCACTGCGTGTGCTCGGAGTTGCTAAGAACATATTCCGTGCGCACTCGTCTGAGTGGGCGGATAAAAGGAAGTTTGTATTCATCATTTCATTATTGAGAATACCATTTGATACTCCAGGGACAAGAAAAGGATTGCATTTTGGTTCAAGATTCGCAGCACGTAAGGAAGCGAAATTCTTCGTTTTACAGTTTAATTAGCTCCCGTTCTTTACATGGGGAAAGCAATCCCCCAGTTTTATTTCACCGACGAAGTCCTTTTCAGTAACAAAGTATGCCATGCATTCATTCAAAACCTTCGAGCGATCGACAAATTTCAAATGCCAACGTTCAGACCGCATCCAGCATAGATACAGGAGGAAAAGCCGTCGGGTACCCTATCACTTCGCACGGAAACACTAAATCTTTGCAGTGTTACCTTTTGGTGGCAAACACTTTTCAAGATGGTTAAAAAGTCATTCAGATAAGAGAACAATACTGAAATGTTAGGAGGCGTGGCACGGTTACGCCTTGAGGCAGAACCTTGTTATGATCATTGGAGTGGCTCGCAGTGATATATATATATATATATATATATATATATATATATATATATATAGATTCATATGTTGGCTCAGTGGTCTCAGGCTGGCATGTAGAGCTGTTGCCGCTACGCGAATAATTTCTTCATGGCGCACCATGTCAAGTCCTCCACCAGGTGCATTGCTACATGTTTTGCTCTGCTCCCGCATCGCCAGACATATCGGTTAACATGAGCTACAAAATATCGCGAATACCTTGCAAGACAGGCAGAGCTTGCTTAGCAAACATAACCCCGTATAGGTACACAACAGATGTTTTAAAGCTCAAGTTACTTAAAAGAACACCTGTCTGTAGACATGCTGTGACTTGTTCATAGCATAACTTGTCATGCTGCGAGTCAACTGCAGAAGAGAGAGAGAGAGATAAAGGGAAAGAGAGAGAGGAGAGAGAGAGAGAGAGAGAGAGAGGAGGAGTGCGAGAGGAGAAGAGAGAGAGAGAGAGAAGAGAGAGAGAGAGAGAGAGAGAGAGAGAGAGAGAGAGAGAGACGAGAGAGAGAGAGGAGAGAGGCGAGAGAGAGAGCGAGGAGAGAGAGAGAGATGAGAGAAAGAACGATGAGAGAAAGAGATGATAGAGAGGAATATTTCGATGAGGGTAATGAAGAATGTTAAGCGTTATGGAGAAGGTGTCTGGCGTTGCTTTTGGCTGAGCGTGGGTCGCGCCAGGCTGTCGGAGCACTTGACTCGCGCGTCTACCTCGCATAGCTTGAGCGCCAGCGACTTTCCTTTTCCGAACATAGGGATACGCCACGATACGCACGATACAACACCATATTGTATCGCGACAGAGCGTGAGCAGCGATACACTGGCTACACCATCTGGTCCGCATTCGCTCGATGAGTTCGGGACACTCTTGGGTCTCCCACGATTTTGTGGACGTCTAGGACATGACACATCCCACATTTGCAGCTGAATCTTAACGATGGTTAACATCTCCGAAGTCCGGTACACAACGAGGAAAAACGCCGGTGCATTAGTGAGAATGCAGACGTCCTGGGTACCGTCCTCCAGCGACGCCTTAAATATGTAGGTGAACAGGGTGACGTCTGCTTCAGCATGTGTGATGACACACTCCAGCTTGCTGACTAGCTGGATGTTGTGTGGAAGGGGAAGCCCGCATAAGATGCTGAGGAGCAAGCCCTTGGCTGTGACATTGTAAAGGACGCCTTCTCACCAGGATAGAGGGGTGTTAAGACAGTACTGAGCGATATTTTAGGCAGAAAGAGGGCTGCGATGGCAACACTGCACTGCGACAGTGTTGCTGAAGGAGGAAGTCACCGTAACGCCCTCGCGCACGAGCATAAGCATCAGCAGTGCGTCAGCTTTGTTAGGTAGTCCATCCAAACAGTTTCTCTATGGCTGACTCCAGGCGGTCTCTCGGCACCTGATATGTTTTGGCGCCATCCGGGTACAAACTCTGCAGCAGCACGACAACAGTGAGGTGTACTCCCTGCGACTCACCCACCAGGCTGTGCAGCTGGATCATTACAGCGGCTCTTCCAAGCTGACCCCAACTCAATTTACGACAAAGGGTCTGTCCGTTAAAAAGTTACAGACTGAACCGACCCCGCCAGGTTCAGTCGGCGGCAAAACACGACATAGCTGTCTCAAGTCCACAGAAATGACGGGCCGCTCGAGCGGACGTGCTGCATAGCCCAGCAAGACCGACTAGTGGCTTCTCCCCACAAGCGTACGACACTAGCAGAGATGGGGCCGATGATCCATGACCGTCAGCAGCCTGTCCACACATATACTGTTTTGACTGTGTTTGTGTGTGTCTCGAAAGGATTCTGCCTCCGGGGTGCAGCACAGCCATTACACGGTCGATCTACATATGCATCAGATAGCATACCTGGCATGGTGATGATGTCTGGATAGGATATGTCGCAGGTAGTATGACAGCATATTTCCATCAGATAGCAAGTCATAACATGATGTCTTATCTTGTCATGTCAGATAGCATGTAGTCCAGTGGGACCACCCTCAGCGCTGCATCAGCCTCATGCCTCACTCGAGCAAGGTGTTCGTCATTGTTTCTAGTGCTTTTAGCTCGGTGTTTATACTTTGCACGCATATACGGCTTGATATTTATAAAAATAGAGTGACTTCTTTGCAAATGGAATGCGGCTCACAAAAGACCCGAGCAATCGAGTCGAAATGCTCTCGTGTTTTAAGTCAAAACCAATTTGCATGCAAGGCACTGCGCATCCGAGCGCCGGCGCCAAGAGATTGGGCAAGCCAAAAAGTCGTTTTTGAGTACGTACGTACGATGTGTGTCCAACTATTGCGCTTCATTTAATGCTTTTCTTCTGCCTATTTTCCCAGGAGTTTTCTGCTTCTGTTGTAATAATGCTGTAAGCTCTTGGCTCACGCGGATTCAGTGGGACACGAATACCACCTGGTGACACCATATCACGGCAGAGCTTCAGTCCATAGCGTCGGGCTGAGGATGAAGCGGTTAAGTGTCAGTGGCAGGCGTTCAGGATCTTTCATAGATGAAAACTGTCTTTTGGCGTGGGAATTTCCGGATTGTTCTGAGAAAATTGGAGTTGGAAAACTTTGTATTTTGTTTTCTTTTGATTAGAGCTGGCTGATCGTAATAGGACTTTTTCGGCCACCAACGATCTTTTCAGAGTTATGAGATGAAGGAGAGTAAAGGGTGGAGGAGAAAATGCATGCATTTGGTAGTTCTCCTCTACGCAGGCTTACCCCGAACAGGGGCCCTCCTCGGGTTTGTGCGGGAATTCAGGCTCTCCCCAGAAGAGCGGACGAGCACTCCATTCCGCCCATCTTTATGGCATACAGCTCGCCCCAGATTGTGCGAGCATTCAGACATCGCAAGGAGTGAGGAGGGGCACATAAGAGGGGGAACTGTTGGATGGCTGCGCTGTGACTTCACTGCCAGACGACGCAACCCGAAACTGTGAAACTGATAGTTTGTTTTTGGGAAACACCTGAACAACTGGAGGCTCGCCACTTCTGCTTCCAGCATAGAAAACGCCTATTTCACAGATGCAGTGATTTCAAAGCGAGTTAGTTACCATACATCATATGTACGGTTACCACACAATTATCTCATCCTCGTCCCATTATAACTTCTGTGCTGCCCTCACTGTTTGGACTCTTCTCAGGGAAACCATGGCAACGCCTTCGACAGTAGCGCCAGCACGCCCGCTGTGGGCGATGGCAGCGCCGCTCCACGGCGACCGGCGGAAGCCTCGTTTGGCGCGCCATCCGAGGCTTCGGATGCGAACACCAGCCAACTCGATGACCTGAGGGGATCCAGCGCCGGTGGATTCGATCCGCGGGATGGTGACCTCACCTGGCAGGACTTCCTCCTCGAGTCCTCCGACGGCGGGGACCCTGCCGCCAGCTCCGGCAACGCGAATGGCCGGCATGACAGGTATGCCGTGCGCGACGGCTTGAGTTGCGTAAAACCTTCCGAAAGGTGGTGGCTGGCCTGGGTCAAACCGCGTCTCTGAAGTATTTGGGGGGCTTAGATTAGGACTTGACGGCGTAAACTGGGATCTAGGGATATCCTGACAGGAAAATGTCGATTTAAATGAGAAATCATCACATGAAGATCTGTTCTACAAGCAAAATTGAAGATAGTAAAATTCAACTTTTTGGTGATTAAGGAAGCGTGCTCTCCATGCCCCTTCTCCTCTTCCCAGTGATAGCATCCATGACCGTTGGATCCACAAAACTTCCACCAACAGGTGCAGGTACAAACTGGATTGCTTTGTCACAAATAAAATGAATAAACAGTTTTGTCGCCACGTCGCAGGGACGTCTCAGCCAGGTCCGTCACGTCATGCACGTACTGAACGCACATCGCAGAGCTTCATGCTTTGGATACCCTCGCAGGACGCTCACAGGGTAGCTGGCTGAATGCCGCTCTGGCACGCATGTATGCAGTGGACTGTTTTTCTGGTGTCGATTTATTGAGCTTGGTCATCAGCGGTCTGCCCCGGTGTCAGAGCGCGGTGGTGTCCTCAGGGATGGCCTCCAGACTGAAAAGTCTAATGCCGAGCACCTCATAGCCGAAAACCCATTGCCGCGGATCTTGGTTGGTACAGTGTTACAGCGTGCCCTACCGCAAGAGAACTGCTCTCAGATCGCTGCAGTCTCCTAGATGAAATTTGCTCGACGTTGTTGGTTTGATTTGAGCTCATATAGTACCTCTTATGATGGTTTTAAGTCCAAAGCAACTTACACAAGCACACAACTTCGAAATATGTACCAAGTCTTCAAAGCTGCAAAAAAGTGAGTCAGATTATTGGAATACTGCAAGACAACGTTAAGGACACAGATACTCACGAAAGGTTTACATGTGTCACGGTAATAGCACGATTCTAGCGTGATGATCTTACCTCATGAGACCCTAGCGTGTTCGGATGCATGTTTGATGGAGATGTAGAGCTGCAGTTAAATAGAGCCGACAGAGCTGCAGCTAGCATTTTGTCTGAACTGGTCATGAAAAATTGTTGGCCGCACATAGTTTGCATGGATTTCAACCAGGACAGGATTGTTCACAGTTTAGGATAAAATGCAACCAGTGTCAGCTACTCCCGTGCGTATGCGGGCTTCTGCAGTTGCTGTAATGTGGGCCAATGTAATCCAGGCAATGATTTAAATATTGGTATTGCTTATCTAAACGCTATGGAATTTGGACTGCATTGCTTATTGATACATTGGCCCTACCCATCAGCTAAGTTTTTGGAAGGGTGCTCGCACTATTGTGCGAGTCAATAATTCTGAGCGCTTCTTGTGAGAAGTGTCGTGATCTAATTACGACGCCTTACATCTTGTTTCATAATTACCCAGATTCTGCAACAAACGTCCCCATGATTTAGAAATACATAATAATTAATAATAAATAACAATTCAAAATTATGTCCGATTAAAAACCGTGTAATACAATCGCAGGCCTTCTGCGCAGAACATTCAGAATAATATTTAATTTTCTTGCATCCATGAATCGCATCACGTAAGCGTTGTCTGCTGCGCCGCAGCTGCACCCTGCAGTCTCCCGCTCAAGGTTAGCAGCGAGTGCCCGCTCACTGCACCTGAGCGTGTAGCGTCAGCTGCCATCTCCGTTTCATCGCAATGTCCCGCCTGCTTCAGGGGCCAGGAGCGCAGCGCCCAGCAGCACCATCCGCGAAACAGCGGCGCCCATGAGGCTGGGCGCCCGACGGCGGAGGCCTCCCGGGATGACGTCACCTACCGGCCCGCGGCGTCGCGTGCGCGGGGCCGTGACACAGACTCTGACGTCACAGGCTTTTATCCGGTGGGGGGCGAGAACCGCTTCAAAGGCTTCCGCGACTCCCGAGGCCTCGATCGCGGCGGCAGTGGTGATGGCGGCGCTGCCATTAACCGTTTGACGTCCGACGATCGCAGCGGTACCTTCAATGACCCGGCCGGAGCGCGCCAGGATGATGCGTCTGGCTTCATGGGTGGTGGCGCGCACCAGGATCTCATGGCCAAGATACGGGACGCCTCCGCGCACGCCTTCGATGGCACCGATGGCGGAGGCAGCCCGAGCTTCGCTCCCTCGAAAGAGCCCGCCTTCAGCGTTCCCTTCCGCCAGCCGGCCGACCGGCGACCGGATGATGACTCCACTAGCGCCCCTGGCGGTGGGGAGTATAACTACAGTTTGGACGGCCACCGACAGAACTACAACGACCGCGGGGAGACGCCTAATCGTGATGAGGATGCCGGGAGGCCGGGCGGAGCATTGGAGGGATTCGACGTCTACCGCGAGGCGGAGGAGGAGGAGGAGGCGTACCGCGCCGTGGCCGATGAGGGTGACCCCGGCGAGTACAGCCCGTATCGCAGCGGCGGCGCGCACCGGCGCGCGTACCCCAGCCGCTACCGCGAGGAAGAGGCGATGTACCGCGGCCCCTACGGCACACCGGACGAGCAGGAGGCGGCACTGTACGACGAAACCTTCCCCCGGGTGCTGCGACGCGCCAAGCGAGACAGCGGCAGCCCCGAGGGCCTGGTGATCTACACGGAGCAGGTGCGCAACATTCATCCTGTCATCCATCGTCACCGCAAGGGTGTGCCCCGGCGGCAGCCGGCGACCGGCTCGAAGGCGACCATTTTCCGGGGCGACGTGCCGCCCGGCTCCGTGCGGCCGCAGATCCGCCCCCGCCCGACCGGCGCCGGCGCCGGCGCCAGCGCGCCGAAAGCGCCCGCGGCGCTCGTGGGGCCAGGACACGCTCTGAAGGCGCCCCTGAACCCCGCGCAGGTGCAGGCGCTGCTCGAGATGGTGCAGGCGCCGCAGCGCGACGCGAAGAGCGCCGCGTCGTCGTTCACGCCCGGAGTGATCCACAGAGGGTTCGTGCCCATGCTACCAGCACATCAGATCAGCAGGCGGTCGGTGAGAGGCCGTGCTGACCTCCCCGCGATCTCTACTGATCTCTTTGCGACCCCTGCTGACCTTGCTGTGACCTCTGCTCACACCCCGAGGAGCTTCACCAAGCGTCAGGTGGTTGTAGCTCATGCTGACCTTCATACGGCTGTGTCTGACCCCGTGACCTCTGGCGACCTGACGTCGGCCGGGTCGCAGCTCCAGGAAGCGTACCAACCACACTACACCGACTACGGTCGTCAGCAGGGCCGGCAAAACTACGCCGTCCAACGCGACCCGTACGAACGCTACCTGCCCAGGGAGGACGACAGCGACCCGTATTTCAGGTGAGGGTCGGTCGCGTAACACGTGAGGGGTAATTTGTTTTGACCGTTGGCGGTTGCACTGTATTTTCCAGTATTATTTATTTATCGAGGTGGGTGGTGGGTAAACAAAGGTGTGACGGTGCTCTAGTGATAACGCTTGAGTCACCTGGTAGGACGCATTTGGGAGTTTCTCGTAAAAGACCGCCTTAACCGTAGCTTAAATGACCGTAAAAGTACGCACAGTTGCCAAACAACGTAAAGAGAAGATTGACGCCAGCGCGTGGTAACAAGATGGATCCGGCTCTTTAAACCTCAACCAACTACCAAATGAAACATTACCATTCGACAGATTACCGTTCTCTCAGACGTTGTCTGCACCTAAGTGCCGAAGATGACGAGCCGAAGTATGTAGCAACATCGCCGAATATGCACCAGTACATCGTTGACGTAAAATTTTACCCTTCTGGGGATCGAACCCGTGACCCAGCACACTGCACTCGTGCGACAGATATGCCCCGCGTGAAAGCATCCAGCACTTCCACGACGACGAGGATGACGCATCTGGCGGCGAGGAAGGGCACATCCGGCACGACTTCTACGGCCGGCCGCAGCGGACCAGGTCAGGTCAGGGGTCAAAACAAAGAGAAGATTACACTGAGACGGATGCCGCCCCGACAACACTCCCACTCCTTGGTGCCGGAAGGCAGGTCTCCTGTCCGCTTAAAAAGTTGCCTTTTACTAGATTTTGCCAAGGCACTTGCGTTAAGAAAGGATGTTGTCATGTGTGTTACTGTTATCTATGATTTCATGTCACATGAGAACACCTTTGCAACCTTCAGTGACAAGGCTGTTTGTCCGACACTGCTGATCTAATGTGCCGATTGGCTTGTCCGTGTTAAAACCGCGCATGGTTTAAGACTCTTTTCAAATCCACCGCATGGACTTTGTGCGTGAAGTATTGTAAAACTAGATGGATGATGCCATCTTCGAACACCATTACAAAATCATCCACATTGAATGCGCATGACAAGTTTTTACAATTTCTCACGGAAGAAGCACATCTGGGTTGTTCTATGCATGTAAGGAGGAACCCTTTTGGCTTCATCGCACGCGCAGTAGTCCACAACTGTAGACAGGGCTACTTATTCTCAAGTACGACGGCTGCACCGGAAGTATTCACTCAAGACAGGTTACTGGAGTCCATTCCGCCTCGACGATGTTTGGAACACGAAACTGGCAACTTGCTGAAGCCTACTGGGGTCAGGACTCGGAAACCCACCGTCCCAAACTGATGGTTAGGCAGATGACGGTGCCCAAAGAATTAGCCCATGAGCTTGAAACGACATTATTTTTTTCAGTTCGTACCAACAAATTCGCTGCATGCGTGGCGGCACGACTTTGGGGCTGTTGACGGCTGACCGAGCGTGCCTTGTGTGGAAGCGCGATTTGAAAACTGACACTGTTCGGAAAAATAACGTGATATGCATGTCCTGGTTCTCCTGCATAACTTGCTTGTCTCGAAATGACGTAACATTTTTTTCAGCTACAAAAAACGTCCGCAAGTAGACTATGATGACTACGAGAACGCTGGTTACCATGGCGACGATCGTCAGGATGAAGACTACCCAGCCGATTACACATATGATGATGAATACTACCCTAGCAACGGACGTCCCGCCGACGGCTCCCGTGGCAACCGTCGCCCTGACGACGGTTACCGTGGCAACAGTCGTCCTGACAACGGCCGAGTGGGTGACGACTTTTACGAAAAGGATAACGAGACCGAAAATGACCAAGATGAGTACTACAGCGGAGCCTTGAATGGACGCAGGAAACGGCGGAGGCGGTACCCGAAGCGCCACGGTCTCAGATACGGAAATGAAGCGTACGAGGGCGGCGACAGGACGCGCGGAACGGACCGCGATAAGCAATTCAGTCGGAGGGCAGGTAGGTGACATCTGAAAACGACGCAACCGCGGTAATCACTTGGCATACAAATTTCTCGCGCCGATAGTTGTAAACAGCGAAGATCATTTGTAAGTGTGTCGGCATGAGAGCATGTCGTCTATCCTCCGATGTGAGCAAAGGCGACAACTTGGCGTAAAGCCTGGAGTTACTCTCTAATGTATGCTCTCCGATAGGAGTAAACGTGACAGTATGGCGTAAAGCTTGGAGTTACTCACTTACGTATACTTTCCGACGAGAACAAACACGGTTGCCTGGCATAAAGTCAGGATTTACTCTTTTACGCCTACTTTCGGACGAAAGCAAACGCGACAGCATGGCATAAAGCCTGGAGTTACTCTCTCATATATACTCTCTGACGAGAGTAAACGTGGCAGCATGGCATAAAGCTTTGAGTTACTCCCTTACGTATACTCTCTGGTGAGAGTAAATGTGACAGCGTGACATGGGGCCTGGAATTGCGCTTGGAGGAGGACAAATATCAGTTACCTCAGTCAGAAGACATGAGACTTATTGCAAAATGTATTGAATAAGGATCATAGAAAATAAAGCTTTGATTTATGTGGTTAGACGCTTCACAGAACTAATCTCAGTCCGTCACCTCTTCTTTCAGGAGAGATACAGGAGGAAGCCTCCCAGGGCTACGAAGATACTCGGGAAGCCGTCAGCGATATGCTGGATGCAATGTCGCACAAGAGAAACGACGATAACTGCAAGGAGGTCAAGCGAGACGGCATGACGTGCTTCCAGTGCACCGACTCCGAAGGCATGGAGGTGAATAGGCGAGACGCATGACACCCGTAGCGAGACGCACGACACCCGTAGCGAGACGCACGACACCCGTAGCGAGACGCACGACACCCGTAGCGAGACGCACGACACCCGTAGCGAGACGCACGACACCCGTGGCGAGACGCATGACACCCGTGGCGAGACGCATGACACCCGTGGCGAGACGCACGACACCCGTGGCGAGACGCACGACACCCGTGGCGAGACGCACACACCCTGGCGAGACGCATGACACCCGTGGCGAAATGCACACACCCGTGGCGAGACGCATGACACCCGTGGCGAGACGCACGACACCCGTAGCGAGACGCATGACACCCGTGGCGAGACGCATGACACCCGTGGCGAGATGCGTGACACCCGTGGCGAGATGCGTGGCACATGTGTCGACATAATGGGATGTTTTGAATGGAACGTTGTACTTTCAGTGACTGCAATGAAAGGCAGAAACATGACTGTAGAGACACACTGGACGTGGTCATGCTATCCTTAAGCCAAGGTGTTTTGGGAGTGTCATAATTATGTCCACAAAAAGTGTCAATCCCGTGGTGTTACGCTCCACTTGGCAACACAGGTGATCTAAAATGCTTTCATTCGTTATCATATGACAGTTTGTTGTTGTACGTAGCCCGGTATTGACAAGTCCAGTCTACCTATTGCACTCAAATTGTAAACAGAGCGTTATATGCTTTGAAAAGGTGATGCTGTGAGTGTCTCATAATGCAGCACAACCCGACCGTTTGAACTCAAAGCCGTGTACAAAGGTGGAGCAATCACTTTAACGTATTGCTATTGTGGCGCCAGGTTAAAGACAACCTGGTCAGAAAATAAACGGATTCATACGCAACTGAAATTCGTGGTCTTCAAAGCTATACCAAATGAGCAGAGCCCGGTGGCGCTTGTACCACACGTCATATATTTTTCGCGTTTCGACTGTTGTCGCTGTAAGCTCGCACTTGGAGACGTTTTATGTCGCGTCTTTCCATGCCGTAAACAACACGCATCTCTATATCGTCCCACAGACGGAGGACTGTGCCTACGCCGGCGGTGACCCCGATGGTCGCCACACGAGCTACAGTGTCTCCTCGAGCTACGGCGAAACCCCTCGGAAATCTCGCCCCTCCCGCGACCCTAGCGCCACCTATACACCCGACCGCAGCGACGTTTACCGTCAAGTGAGGCGAGGCAGGAAGAGCCGCTCAGCCGAAGTGCGTGGTGGCGGTCCAGGTGGCGGAAACGGCGCCGATTCTGCGGAGGCCTCGGGCGGTCCGCGCCTCCGTGAGATGATGCGAGGTGGCAGCACCTCTGCTCACCGGTGGCGCCACCTATTGGACGCCAACGGTGGCTCAGACCGGTCGGGGGCAGATCCCGATCTGGACGTGGTCACGACTCGGGCTGCGAGTCATTCGAGTTTCGACGGACGCCAACAGGTGGCCCTGCCGTCGCTCGGAAGGTGAGCCGCCTGTGTGTGGACCAAGGCCGCGTCACACGCAACATCCAGAGGTCAGAGTGGAATCGCCTGGCGCATGCGCATTGACACTGATTTAGCCAAGGATGTACTGCAGAGGTGGGGTGATTTCGCAATAAACGAGCTTGAGGATGGATGTCAAGCTTACTACTCCGTACAGTTATCACCAAAAATCTACACG